AACTAATATGCATAACAAATTTTATGTGATAAATTCATGTTTCATATTTAACAATGTTCTATGGTACATCCAAATAAAAATCACAATACATAGTAAACAATTAATTCACATCCTTGATATGCTCTATAACTTTTCTCTATAAATATTTGCCAACTTACAATAACTTAAAATATGCCAAAATTATTTTTAATGTCATGATAAATAAAATAATACTTTCATATTATGATACACATATAATATGAGATACATCATTTTAAATTTAATAAATTCTTACAAAAACTAAAATGCAATTTAAACATGTCCTTGCTATTTCTAACATTTTATTTACATAATCTCATGTTACCAATACATGCACCATACATTCAAATTCATGATTTTTTTTCCACCAAATTATTTTATCTGAAATTTATGCATTATTAATTAAAATAAATTACTTGCACCAAAAATAATATTTTAACATGTATTTTATATTCAAGTATACAACATAAACCAAACATACTATTAATTATTCAAATTCACATACTTGAATAATTTATAAATCATGCATATATAAATTTATTCCATATGCTAAACTTAACATAAATAAATATTATTTTCAACATATTTTACATGTATTTAAAACATCATATGAATGACATATTTATTTAATATGAATATGTACCTTTCACCGACATTGAAAGTTGTTACCATCTTCTTTAAAATTGCATACTTTAATATTAATTATAAATAAAGTATGGATCAAAATCGAAAATCAAACGTCGAACCTAAAGATTGTTTGATCTTGTGTTGGGGGTCTGCTGCAAAACATGAACAAAAAGAAGATGATGAAGACGGTACGATGAAAGTTGCACAAAATAATTTCAAAGCGTGTGTTTATACTAAGTTTTACGTTCGATTCGCCCCCACCAATTTATGCAAATTGGATGCAAAATGGTTAATCGGCGAATCCCTTTCAAGATACTTTGAAAACCTTAACATGAACCGCACATTCACACTAAGCATATCGATTAATGATATTTTACTTAATAAAGTTTCCTCATTTATTCCCGTGCACTAGAAAAATAAAGAAGTGACTTAGATATATTTTCTTGCTCTAAAAATATTTATTTCCGTATATCTTTTATGGATGACAAATATCTCTATTTATAAGAAAATTTGTACCAATTGATGTGGAGAAACAATGTTTTGTTTGATTTTAATATGACCATTCACCAACCATTGTATATCAATAACAACAAACTTTTTTATGAAAAATTGTGTTAATCTGGTCGTTGTACCTTTTGACCACGCATCCAATCATTATAGGACCTCTAGTTCTATTCTAGACAGTTGCAACTTTTGATCATTTATTTTGTTAATTTAACCATTATTATTTATCAATTTAATATTTTGGAAATTTCTCCAACAACTTTTTCATCAAAAATATCAAAATAATCAAATTTCTAACAAAAATACCTTTCTTCTTTTTAAACTTATCATTTAAGACCATCTTAAAGGTTTGAAAGGAATTAATGAGTTCATCTACTTTGATGTTGCTTAGGTCTTAAGCTTCTTTAATAGTTGTGACCTTCATATCAAACTTATTAGGAATATATCTTAGTCTTTTTCTAACCAACATTTCTTCTTACATTTCCTTTCATAATGCAAATAAATTGTTGGCAATGTCACATACTCTAATGTTGAAGTCTGATATAGATTTATTTTCATTCATTCTCATATTCTCAAATTTTGTAGTGAGGAGCTGCAACTTGACATTCTAACATTGGACGTATCTTCATGTGTAGTTTTGAGAATCTCCCAAGCATCTTTGGCTACAGTATATGTGTTGAACAACCTAAACATGTTCTTGTCCACACACACACACACACACACATATGCATATATTATGTTTCGTATCACACACATAAAATAATAGTATTATACTTTGTATCATCTATGCATCAAACACATGATGTGATAAGTTTATCTTGTCATTATTTTTACCCTGTCTTTATCTAGTTTCTTATTATATAATGCCTTTATCATATCCTACACACTGAACATGCCCTTAATATTTAAATCTAAAGCTCCACGAAAACTACATGACAAATAAAAAACTACTACATGTGTTTGTCGATGTAGTGATTATACATGTACCTTAGGGGGGAAGGGGGGAATGGATAAGCTAATCACCTAGTCTGACACGGGTACGGGGAATCACCTTATGACCATACACATGAGAAATACCCCATGGAAGGATGCACGCATGTGGTTGTTATTTGGATTGTGAAGCTAGTTAATTACTTGAAAGATCCGTCTACTTTTGCCGACTTAATATATAGGGACTTGTATAAGAAAGGAGTTACATTGTATTCCTTAGATGTGTGGAAAAGGTAAAGTCTTCCAAGTTCATAGATGTAGTCCATGAGAGGCTTTGTGGATCCCACAAGGTAAATCTTGTGGATTTATTTGCTTCTAAGTATAATATATACAATAGTCAATAGACTTATATGGTTTTGATAAGGGGAATTCTCCATATGAAGTTATGATCTATTTGTTATACTCAGAAGATCAGGATGTCAAATTCAATCTTTTAAGAACAACACCTGATGTTAAGTGATGTTCGATGGAATCCTTAATGATCTTCAATCAAACAATCTCTCTGGTGATGGCATGTATCATGAAGCTTTATCAAGCCTAATTAAATAGAAGGAGTCAAGTTCTAAACAAAGTGTTGAATTATTGATGTATTAAACAAGGGATCTTGAAGCTCCAGAGTTTGTGAAAGAGAGGAAGTTGAAAGTTTGCCCAATAATTGTCTGAGTGATCAGAGTATTGTAAAAGATATTAGAGTAATTATTAAATTACTAAGGTAACACACACACTCACCTAAAACTGTTTTTAACCTCTCTATTTTGATAAACTCATTAAAACTCTTAGAGGAACTATCAAGGTGCTTGTGGGACTAATTAAAGGGTGTTCATAAACATTCAGAAGCTTATATACATTGCCTAATCGACTAAGGCTCTTAGCCAATCGACTATAATAAGGCATAAAACTCCTTAATCGATTAAGAACACTCTTAGTGGATTAGGACATTAGCCGTTGTTGATTTTCCATTTTTATGAAGCACATAATTAATTATCGTCGCAAGAAGTTCAATCAAATAAGTTAATTTTAATGTATCTCATTGGCATATTAAATGATTTTTTTATTAATGTGAAATTTTGTAGATGTCATGGTGTCAATTGACCCAAACTGAGAGTGAGAGAGAGAGAGAGAGAGAGAGTTTTTAGCATTTAATTAATTAGAGTTACATTATGTTTCATAAATTTTAATTATCATAATCGGCCTTTTGAATTATTAAATTGGTATTGGAAACACTTTTTATTTAGTGTTGATTACTCAAACTTCAATAATAAATTACTAAAACACATTTAAAGTCATTTCTAATAATTATATCTAAATAATATTCTTTTTAAGGAGATAAATGCGAAAAACATCATAGAAGACATATAAGTGTGATAAAAATAGGCAAATGGGTGCCCGTGTCTAGGGGTGTTCAAAATCGAATTGGTCCAATAGAAAACCTCAAACCGAACCCAACCAAACCTCAAACCACAAAAAATTACATTTTATTTAGATGTGTTTGAACCATTATTTTTAACAAAACCGCGCGGTTCGTTTCGATTTGTGGTTTATATATTGCAAACCAAACCAAACCGGATTATGTTACAATTCAAATTTCACTTAACCCACATCCAATTCAAACTCAAACCTATTATGCTTTAGTCTTACGATTGCAAACGATTTTATTTGTCTCACACTTAGGATTCAAGTTTCATCATTCTCAAATCTCTCCTAACAGTATCACACATTCTTCGTTAGGTACATCTTGTCTCTTCTTCACTAATCTCCATTCTATTATATTCTTTTTCTTTTCATCTTACTTTTATGCTATTGTTTTCTCTTTCAATTTTATTTTTATCACACATTTTCTTCTCTGATCTCTAATATCTTTTGTCTTTCTTTTTCATTTTCACTAATCTCACACCTCTTCTATTTTTTGTTGTTTCATGTATTGTTTTATGTTATTATTTTATTTTTATTATTTTGCTTTTGTGTGATTTTTATATATTAAATAAAAAGTTAACTTTCAAATAAGTTATGATGTCTTTTGAATATGTATGTGACTATGTATGACTCAATAATTTTTTTTTAAAAATTGAATAAATCAAACCAAATGAAAACCCATTAATTTAATTTAATTTTATTTTATTTCAATAATTTTTTTTTAAAAATTGAATAAATCAAACCAAATGAAAACCCATTAATTTAATTTGATTTAATTTTATTTCTAAACCGTTTAAACTGCAATGCAAACACCCTTAATCATATCCATTTTGACGCTATTCAGTAATAAGAAACAAAGACTTTGACGTGAATAAGATTTGTCACGTCGATTTTGGCGTGAATAAGATATCACCATTCCTAACCAACAAACCATATTGTTTGATTTGGCATTTCCAATATTATACTATTTGTTTTTAAATATATAATTCTTTAATACAATTTCTTGATTTCTTTGACAAGACTCTTTCACAATTTCAACTATATTAATTATTTGTTTACCAACTTTCATATTGAGTAAAATACTAAAAATATTTAAGTATAATATTTTAACGGTAATGTTAACTTGTGCTCGAATGACACAAGTTAACATTCCCACTTATAGTAATTTGTATTGGAAAAAACAATTTAAAACTTAATATATTTTTTTATTAAAGTTTGTACACAATTTTTAAAACAATATTTCTTAATTTAGTTCTTTAACGTATGCCATTGAAATACAAGTTTAGCATTATCCATATTTTAATTAGCGGTGATGGAGTAGTATATATAGCCGAAGGTAGTAAGCATTACATTGTGCAGATCGTTTTAGTTCAACCTCCACGAGCTTAGGAGGTGTCATTTGGGACGCCTCCTTTGGATATTATTACGTACCGTAAATCCCAGACACGATGGTTGCTCCTGAGAGGCCTCAATTTGTTCTTTTCGGATCTTCCATCGTGCAACTCAGTTACAGCCACAGCGGCTGGGGTTCTCTCCTTTCTGATATCTATGCTCGTAAGGTACTCATTTTCAAAATGTTGGGTTTTCAAATTTTTCTTCTTCTTTTGATCTCTAATTTATCTCCCACGATTCTTTATTTTTCAAGAATTTTTCAAGAATTTTTCAAAGGTCTGTTTTAACTTTTAATCCAGTCCCATTTCAACCCATTTGATAATGGGCGTAATTTGACTTCTCAATAATCTCAGTATTCACGCTGACCTAATATTTCTGGGGTGGGGCCGAAGCGTAATGAGTCTGTTCTTTCTTAAATTTTATCTTCAGTTTTTGTCTAGTTAGTTGTGTTGTGTAAAATTTTTATACCACATATTTTAAAATCGGTTTTCTTTTGTAATTATGTATTTTTTATCCCCTCATTTTTTGAGTCTATGAAGTAGAAAATCATCAAGAACTGAAATAGTTGTTCTATTGTTTCAAGATACTGTTAATTTGTGCTGATGCAGAAGTACTCATTGTAGGCGGACATATTGGTGCGAGGATACTACGGATGGAACTCACGGCGTGCCCTCGAAGTCCTCACTCAAGTTTTTCCAAAGGTATTGGGTTCTGTTCTTCAATATAAATGTATCATCATATCTCAAATAAAGTGATTCCTTTGGCACAGCTTGTATTCTTCAATATAATTTATGACTAGGAGTTATCGATTCATTATTAAATGATTCTCTACTTAAATTTAAAAAATAAATAGAAAAGTAACAAAATGAAATTTTGGAAGTGTCCAAGACCAGAAACTTTGTGTCGATCCTCCAACAATTACCTTTCAAAATGAAAGTCTGCTGAATTTCCGAAGACACGATTTTTAGGAATTTTTCTCTAACCGTTCAAATTTTTATACGAGCAGAGGCTGGACAAGAACCTAAAACGAACAATTGTCATATCTTTCCCTGATTGCACGTATACTATTCTAATAATGTCGAGTAGTCTACCGTTGCATATGAGCACTTGTTTGTTTAAGTTTATGCAGGCTAATGTTGGATCCGTGGAAATGAAAATTTTCTGTTACTGTACAGTCCATATATTTTACATACTATCTCTCTTAGTTTTTCATATGACTGCATACTTATTTTCATGCCACTTCCCAGGATGCTGCTACACAGCCTTCTCTTGTGATCGTTTATTTTGGAGGTAACGATTCGATGGGTCCTCACTCATCTGGTCTAGGCCCTCACGTGCCTCTTCAGGAATATATCGCAAACATGAGAAAGATACTGGTTCATATTCAGGTACTTGTTCTCCGTTAATCACCTCATTCTTTCTCCACCAATAGTGTCATTTACCAAGCATTGGAGAAAAATATATCTTAAATATTATGATCTTTTGCTTACAACTGTGATCACATTTTCATATATGAAGTAAAACTATTATTCATAGTTTAATGAGATTATTGAATATCAGAGCCTATCTGAAAAGACACGTATCATCGTTCTCAGCTGCCCTCCTGTCCACGAGGAAAAAGTGCGTGAAAACACTAGGTAAGAACATATTTTTTCGTCTCTGCACTTTTATTCTTCAGACAATGCACTAAAGTTCTAATCACATAGTTTTCGTTTTCCTTTCTTATTCAGCGCATTTTTTAGTGAGCTGGTAAGAACAAATGACTTATGCCAAAGCTATTCCGATGCTTGTGTAAAGCTATGCAAGGAACTTGGTGTGAAAGTCATTGATCTTTTTCGTGCACTGCAAAGTATAGATGACTGGAAGAATGCTTGTTTTACGTAAGCTTCAATCTTTCTTTATCAGTTTTATTTTTCTATCAAGTGACATATTGCAATGTAATTGTTCAACATCCAAATCCTTCCGTAGCTTTTCTCAAGTATCTTGTTTTTTCTTGGTGCTTCCTTTGCAAGAAGGTCTAAGCATTCAATTTCCTACGCTAAAGGCATATTGGCTGATACAATCTTTTGAAACCTGTATTAGTCCCCTTAGTGTCATTTAACCCGGCATAAGTTGTAAAAAAGAATGATGCAAACCATAAATCTATCTAAAATATGTTCAATTTTGCTCTCAATTTCAATTGATTATGCAGTGACGGCATCCATCTAGCAGTTGAGGGAAGCAAAATTGTGGTGAAAGAGATACTGGGAGTGCTTAAGGAGGCTGAATGGAAGCCAAGCCTCCACTGGAAGTCAATGCATACTGAATTTTCTGAAGATTCACCATATGATCTTGTTGCCGCTGATGGGAAAAGAACATTGAACCCTTCTGAGTGGACTTTTCACAGAGAGTTTCAGTGGGATTAAGCTGTGAAGTTATTATCAACCTTATATATATTTAGCAGTTTCATTGTTAACATTTGCTTAAAAATGTTGGAGTCCATGGTTTAACTAAAAATTAGCAGGTATAGTATAATGTAAGTTCCATACTCCCATAGCTATATGCAAATTTTCATGGTGTGTTTGTCAGGGAGTTATAAAAATAAAAAATCAGTATAAGTTGTATGATGTACCAGATGTATTTCCTTTTATAATGATAAGTTACTTATAAAGATGAAAGTCAGTCTCATAAACTTGTTTCCTTTACACTCTCCTCTCATCTTCTTTTATGTTATTTTATTTTCTCCACTTTTGTCCTTTTGGCTGTTTCATCTTCTCATTCATTGCAAGTAATCCATAAAAGATAATGACCTATATTCTTTTTAAATGAAAGTAAAATCTACTTTTTAGGTGATTGTTAATTGTTGTTACTTTTGATTATTCTTAAAAAGGCTTTAAATAGTTCTCAGTAATTGGTAGAGGAAATGATAGATTTGAACAAAATTATGACTGGAAAATTATTTAGTGGACAGTGTTCTTTTGAAGTAGTCTTGTGTTCAAGATCATATTAATCTTTTGTATCTTCTCTTTCAACCTCTATACCAATAAGAAAATTTTCATTTACTCTGTTTGCAATTGAAAAAATTCATAAGCTTGTTAATTAATTTCTAATAACTAATTCTTTTTATCCTACATTATTATCCTTTATAGTGTAAAATTGTTTTACGTGACGTATATTCTAATAAATCACATTTAAATTTCAAAGTAATTTAATAATTTAACAATTTTTTACTTTTTCATTGGACGATAATATAAAATTATTTTATATTATTAATGTATATCTATTATATTCGAAATTATTTGTTTTTAATATTTTGTGTATAAAATATGACTCATATTCTAAAATCTAAGTAGTTAAATGTTTTATTCTAAACAAAATGAACATATACTCATATATTTCTCTTTTAATTTTTTGTGAGATGTGATTTTTTCTATTTGTTTATAAAGTATAAATTTAATTGAATAAAATTATGTTTAAAGATAAAAAAATTGATAATATAAAATAATTTTATTCGAACAATTAATCGTATACATTGGATTGTATGTTAAGAGAGAAATTTAATTTTTATTTTAACCATCAAACAGGTGATGAATTGACAATTAAATTTTTTTATACAGTGCATAATGATAAATTCCTTTTACTCTACCAAAGTGAATCCAATACGTTGCAATTTTTCCTTACAAAAAAAATGGCGCCCAAGTCAAAATGAAAAAAGATGGCGCCAATTTTGAAGCAAATAAACCCTACTTTTTCCCCCCAAAATATCCAATTCCTCCAAAATTCGATTCACCAATTGAATTACACAAGCTCCCAAATTGAAGATAAGTTCTTTCCTTCTTCTTCGTATCGCCGGCTCCGGATCGTAGTACTACTGGTAGCAACTATTTTCTAAGCATTAGGTAGCGATTTCGGCAACCACACCGCAACTGGTAGAAAGGAAAAAAAAATCAATTTCATTTCAGCAGTGAATAGGTTGAGGTAATGACACTAACCGATAACCACATTGACTGAATGTTTACATTTTCCGATTCCCTTCAATTCCATTACGGAAAACATCAAAATAGCTGCACTCACAAGGTGTTTGTGAAAATGTCTCAGTGAGGATAATTCTAGATTGGAAGATTTATAGTAAACTTTTACTTTATAACTTAATTAATATAATTTTATTCATTTAGTTTTAGTTTGAATGATGAATCTTATGTTAAAGCACTACTTTGTCAAGAGTCAAGTTAGCCTTTTGCATTGAGTTCATTTTATAAAGATTTATCATCAATGGCTTATTGTTGAAAAAATTGGGTTCTGATTTGCACTACTCGTTCACTTAGATTCCAAGGTCTAGGTGTTTGTTGGGTTTCATTTTGTATTTCCATTTCAAAAGATGGGTTTTTTGGGTTAAAAAACATGCTATGTTATTGTGTTGGCATGGTTATAAAATCAACTGTGTTTGGTGACAACAATTTAATAGCAATTTGCTATGTATTATTCTGTATTATTCTGGAGGTCATTAGGCTTGTTGATGTATCTTGATGGGTTGTTTTGCAACATTTTGAATGATTGTCTACACAAGAACTCCTACAACAGTTTCAATTTATGAAAGTATGTAGAAGGCAATTATAATTTGTAGATGTTAAGTTGTCTTTATTATTATTTATTTTTTATATATAATGATTTTACTATTTTATCGCTTGTGGGTTGATGTTTTTTGTATGAAATATTGACTCCACTAGTCAACACATTTGGATCTGTCCATTTGTCTGACCTACACAGGAAGTGATACTGTAGGTAACCTCGAGGAGCAGGCTAGATAGAAAGTAGGGGATTTAGTGTTATTATTATTAAGAGCCAGTGAGCCAGTTGCAGGGAATTGAGATGCAGAAGAGTATGATTCTTCAGCTGAGTAGTCATATAAACATAATAAGTAGCTTTATAACATTCAACTAATCAGCTATATTATCTTGATGACTATCCAACACGAGCAGTCTTAGAAAATAAATTATAAGCTATTACAATTCATTGTGATTTTACTATCAGAGCCTTAGTCATTTTATCTTGTCTATTATAATACATCCATGATAAACTAACAAGATTCCTCTCAGCATCATCCAAAGTTTTCATAATCAGAAATATTTAAATCATTACAAAGAGAAATAAGATAATATTTGCTTAGTGCCAACTGTAGCCAACCATATATTTGATATATTCTTTTAATTGGTATAAAGAACACATTTGTTGTGCCCAGTACAACACATAAAGGTGTAGCACTAGGGCTGATACATCAAAACTGCCTCTAGCATCATTGAGACTGACTCTAAGAATTAACAGACTAAATAGCTTACCCTGGCAGATGCCAGCTTTTCGCCTGAAGGCATTGAACAAGTAAAGTAATCATAATCTCTTGGCAAGTGTAAAAAGTACATGTTCTATAACTGCATATTTGCAACCCCACCAATAGACAAGCAATTAGATCATATAGACATCTCAATGCAAAATATTCGTTGCAATTGCCCTGTGTTATCTTTTGGCTTAGCTGAGCAAAATTTAACAAAAAACGTGTTCTGAAAACCAACAAATTGTAGCTCAGCGGTGGCATATATGGCTTAGAAGATGTTTTGCTGGAATTGTTTGATTATAAGTGTTTTAGAACATGCATAGAAATCAATGATGCTTGTGTGAATGCACATCTATCTTGCTAGTTCTTTCTATATGTTGTAGATCTAAACACTTGTGATATTTCATTCCATTTCATCGCTAACAACCGTGAATGAAGTTCTGCGTATAATAGATTCACATTTTCTTTGCTGATTGATTTTAGGTATCTTTATTAATTTATCAAGATTTTTATTTTCATTTAAAAATTATCAATTTAAGCTCAAAATTTCTTTATCTGCAGAGTGACCTTTCAATGAGTCAAAAGAAAGCATAAGAGCAACAAGCTAGAGGATAGGATGGCAAATTACTATGATATTGATGACATTTTGGTGGAGGAAGAGGTAAGGTTCCGACTCTTTAATTTGTTCATTAATATGCTTCTAGTTGATATATGATAGAGTTAGGCCTGTTGAACTTGAAGAGAATGATACTAGTGAGAAGGAATGATGAGCTGGCAGATAACAAGTGAGAAGGAGCACGAACGTCATGAAGGAGAGTAAGGTAAGAAGTTAGTTATATTAGGAATAGGGAGGAGAGAGGGGAATCATCTGGAAATTTGATTATCATTGAGAAAAGGATCAGTAAGATTATATCTTCGTTGAGGGAGCCACTTGGCTAGGTTGATAGTAGTTACTCTATCAAATTTTATCTTTTCTTTATACTGCAGCACTGTAACCATCAACATTCCTACACTAATATAATAGTGTTTCAGCACTTCATTTTTTTTTATTCTATTAATTGGTCTGACCTGCTGATCTGTAAAGAGGTACATTTAACTCATGCCACCAAAAAATGGACGATCAAGTTGAAATTCTGCAATTACAGATAAGAACCATGTGCGTTGAGGTTTGAGAGGTGAAGGGTGTTCTGACCATGCTCATTGAGCAGTTTCAAAAACAAAGCGCTATAATCACATTACTGGGAAAGATGTAGGGAAAGAAGAGCACTGTTGAGTTGTCGGAAGGGTTGGGTGGAAGTTCACTTTCTGAGAAATCACAGTTATCTGTGAAGAAGGTCGAACTACTTATGTTCAAAAGGGAATATCTAGTAGCTTGGATCACGTGAACGGGTTGGATGGAAGTTCACGTTATGAGAAATCTCAGTTTACTGTGAGGAAGGTCAAATTACCTATGTTTGAAGGGGAAGGTTCAGTAGCTTGGATCACACGAACGGAGAATGTGGAGAATTTATCATTATGAGACAGAGACAAACTGAGGTGGTAAACAAGTGCTTGAGAGGTACCTTTGTTTTGTCTCTGAACAGCCACGACACTGGACTCATTGTATAGAGAATAAATTCCAAACTCCTCAAAGGAAGAAGAAATCCTCTCTTTTCCCAACCCTAAGGTTCTAGTACAAATTGTTGAACTATGGAAATGTTTTATATATTTTGTAAAGAATACATAAGAGGTATTTATAGACTATACATCTATCTAAATAAGGGTGTAATTATTCTCCCTATAAATGCTAATTATTCATAATAAGTTGTATAGGATAGCAGCTCATAATGAGCTGTATGATATTCAACATATTCTAATAATAATAATACTAATATTACAATAATAATACTAATATTACAACACTCCCCCTCAAGTTAAGGAATGAATATCTATCATCCCCAGCTTGCAAGTAAGATCTCGAAACCGCTCCAAGGGGAGTCCTTTGGTGAGCACATCAGCTAACTGGAGTCCTGATGGGACGTACTGTGTAGAAATAAGACCACTATCCAATTTGTCTTTGATGAAGTGTCGGTCTATCTCTATATGCTTTATTCTGTCGTGTTGGACCGGATTGTGAGCAATACTAATAGCAGACTTATTATCACAGAAAAGTCTCATAGGAGCTTCATATTTTATTTTCAAGTCATCTAGAATGATCTTCATCCACAACAATTCACAAACTCCTTGAGCCATGGCTCTAAACTCTGCCTCTGCACTTGATCTAGCAACTACATTCTGTTTCTTGCTCCTCCATGTCACTAAGTTTCCACCTAAGAACATACAATATCTAGTGGTGGATCTCTTGTCAACAATCGATCCTGCATAATCTGTATCAGTATAGACTTCCATAGACAACTGCTCACTTTTCTTGAACAATAGACCTCTTCCTGGGCTCATCTTTGGATACTGCAGGATTCTATCCACAACCTGTAAGTGCCTCTCCTGTGGATCATGCATGAATTGACTGACAACACTAACCGGATAAACTATGTCAGGCCTGGTGTGAGATAGATAAATGAGCTTTCCCACAAGTCTCTGGTATTAAGCTTTATCAACCCTTGAACTTTCCTCATCACTCCCAATCCTGTGGTTTTGCTCTATAGGCACTCTGTTGGGTTTACAACCCAACTTGCCAGTCTCTTTGAGAAGGTCAAGGACATATTTTCTCTGAGAAATGAAAATGCCTTGTTTTGAGTATGCTACTTCCATACCTAGGAAATATTTCAACTTTCCAAGATCCTTCATTTCAAACTGAGCTGCCAACTCCTTTCTCAAGTTCATCTTCTCAAATTCATCATTACCTACTATGATCATATCATCTACGTAGACTAACAAAAGAGTGAGTTTACCATTTCGAGAATGCTTTATAAAGAGAGTATGATCACCTTGGCTTTGTTTATAACCCAAGGACACCATAACATGAGTGAGCCTTCCAAACCAAGCTCGAGGTGATTGCTTGAGCCCATATATGGCCTTCTTTAATCTGCAAATCTTATTACTTCCTGAAGTAGGGTCATATCCAGGTAGGATCTCCATATACACCTCTTCCTCCAAATCTCCATGTAAGAAAACATTTTTCACATCAAACTGTTGCAACTCCCAATCAAAGTGAGCTGCTAAGGAAAGAATGATTCTTACAGTGTTCATTTTTGCTACTGGAGCAAATGTCTCTTCATAATCAATTCCATAGGTCTGGGTGCATCCCTTTGCAACTAGCCTCGCCTTATATCTGTCCAGTGTGCCGTCGGATCGGTATTTTACCGTATATATCCATCTGCAATCTACTGGCCTCTTGTCATTTGTGTTCTCAATAATCTCCCAAGTCCCATTTTTCTCTAGTGCATGCATCTCTTCATTCATGGCTTGAATCCAGTTCTTATCCTTTAATGCTTCTTGTACTGATGTATTGACTCTAATAGAGTCAATAGCGGAAATAAAACTCTGATGCTGCATAAAAAGTTTTTTAGTAGACACAAATTGGGATATAAGGTATTTAGTACAAGACCTTTTTTCTTTTCTCAAAGCAATAGGTAGGTCATCAAGGTTCAGCTCACAAGAATTACTAGGCTCAGGGTTAGGAACACTTATCTCAGGTTCAGACGATTGGACTTGTTGGGGCAGAACGAGTTTACCTTTCCACCTTTTTCGCTGGAACTGTAACTTGTATTTGTCAACATTATTATGCATCGGTATTGGTACATCACCACCATCCTCATCATTATTATGCACCGGTATTGATACATCACCACCATCCTCATCATTATTATGCACCGATATTGGTACATCACCACCATCCTCATTAGGCATCAAAGGCTCTTGTATTACAGGAATAACAGGAAGAACAGACAATTCAGGAGACGGCTCTGGGTCCTGTATTAGAGGAATAACAGGAAAAATAGACAACTCTGAAGACTCAGCTTCTTGATTATTCTCCCCCTGAAGCTGAGTACTGGGATAAAAAGACTGATTCCTGAAAAGTAACATCCATGGATATATAGACACGACGACTAAGAGGATGATAACACTTGTACCCCTTCTTATCTGAAGCATATCCTATGAAAATACATTTAATAGCCCGAGGATCTAACTTACCCCGATGAGGGCCATGAATATGGACAAAGGCAGAACAACCAAAGACACGATTCTGAAGACTTGACAAGATGGGCACAGACAGAAAGAATCGAGTCAGGACTTGCACAGGACTAACACCAGATAACACCCTAGAAGGTAACCTATTGATTAAATAAGCAGAGGTCAAGACAGCTTCCTCCCAATAAAATTTAGGAACATTCATTTGAAAGTGTAATGCTCAGGTGATTTCAAGAAGATGACGATTTTTTCTTTCAGCAACCCCATTTTGTTGTGGAGTGTTAACACAAGTTAACTCATGAACAACACCATTAGTTTTGAGAAAATTGCAAAAATTTTGGTTTACATACTCTTACCATTATCTGACCGTAACCATTTAATAGGTTTCCCAAACTGTGTTTTGACCATTTGAAAAAAGTTAACAAACAATTGACACACTTCAGACTTATCTTTCATAAGAAAAACCCATGTAACCCGAGTACAGTCATCAATAAAGGTAACATACCATTTTGCCCCAGAAATATTGGAAATGGATGAAGGCCCCCATACATCAGAATGAACAAGATCAAAGGGTTCGACACTCCTAGTATTACTAGGGGAATAGGTTGCTCGATGAGATTTGGCAAACTGACACACATCACAATGAAAGGAATCAACAAACACTTTGGTAAATAAGTGAGGGAATAGAGACCTGAGCATCTGGAAAGGAGGATGTCCAAGACGCCTGTGTTGGAGCCATATTTGAGTGTTTGCCCATGACTCTGAACCAGCCTGATGACACTTACTTTCCTTATGAGGCAGACAATATAACCCGTTCTGTTCCTCAGCAATTTCAATCGTCTTACTTGTGGCAAGGTCCTGAATAACACAATGAGAATGAAAAAAGGTTACTACACAGTTCAAGTCTTTAGTGAGTTTATGGATGGACAAAAGATTGTTAGAAAGCTTAGGGACATGAAGCACATCATTTAGGTGGAGAGATGGGCTTAGGTGGATGTTACCAGATTCGACAATCGGGGTTTGAGACCCATTTGCAACGGTAATATGGCGTTTATTAGGTAAAGGTGAATAAGAAGAGAGATATGACATATATGGAGTCATGTGATCAGTTGCACCAGAGTCAATAATCCATATATCTTTAGAACTAGTTCTTACCCATCATGGTCAGCGAACTAGTGTTAGAGAACTTACTCAAGGAGTCTATAGAGAGAAACAAACCGTCTCGAACCAGGAGAGGATCAAGATCTACTGTTAGGAGAGGATCGAAGGGCTGCCAATTAGAAACACCAACAACAATGACAACCGAACAATCAAGGGCTGCAAACAACAAGTAAATAGAGGTACGACAATGAAGGTTGTCCTGAAAAAAAGATGAAGGTGAAAACGTCCGGATCTGCAACGGCGGTTGAGCGGTGGACGATGGCTGCAAAGTCACTAAGATCACTAGGGTTCCAAGAGAAAGGGAACCTTGAAAAAAAAAGAAGAACCGTAATAAGAACGACTAGTGTTTTGAGCGCGGAAGTAGAGCCCCTAGAATCAGGAGCTCTGATACCATGTAGAAATATGGAAATGTTTTATATATTTTGTAAAGAATACATAAGAGGTATTTATAGACTATATATCTATCTAAATAAGGGTGTAATTATTCTCCTTATAAATGCTATTTATTCATAATAAGTTGTATAGGATAGCAGCTCATAATGAGCTGTATGATATTCAACATATTCTAATAATAATAATACTAATATTACAACAATAATACTAATATTACAACACAAATGATACTCAATAATCCATTATTTTCCTCTCACACACCTCGTATACTTCCCCTCACATGTAACTTCCCCCACTCTCTAACCAACTTGCCAGCTTAGCACTTCCCCTCTTTGTTTGGGCCTCTCTCTTAATGGGACTTATTAATGCCACCCTCTTATAAACAAACATTGTCCTCAAGGTTGGAAGTGGTTTTTATTAGTCTTCTTACACCTAGGAGACCCTTTGACATGCTTGAGAAACAATTAGGAATCAAGCCATTGAAAACAGTGAGGTTGGACATCTATTGCACCCAAAAGCTTGAGGGCCAACACTTTCCTCTATCATGTACCAAATTAAGCAACACCCAAATGCTTGAGAACCAATTCTTTTCCTCCATCACCACCAGCCTTACCAACTCCGTTGACGCTTGTTGCTCCTTTTGATGGTGACTTACCAACTCCATCTTGTCATCCTTTTCACCTTTTAATGGTGGTGGTCGGAAAACGGCCAATCATGGTCGAAATTGGCAAAGATCGCACAAAATCAACAGTTACATGATTTTTTCATAATTTAGCTACAACATATAAGTCTACTTAAGATCAGGATCGTTGGGGTGAATGAGATTGCAAAATCTTAAAATTTTAAGATCTAGATTGAGATCTTGACCAACATGATTCCACCTCACATAAGGGTTATAAATGTCTCTCTCCTAGTGGTCTTCTTTTCATATCCAAAGATGCCATTTTCAATGAATCTAAGTTTCCATATAATGACCTATTTTGAAGCAAAACTCAGTCATCTTATATTGTCCCGAAGTCAATGACCATAAGTCACATTCCCATAGTATCTCTCTATGTATTTCCTCCTCGACACAATCAGTCCCTCCCCACAAGCCTCTCCTACACAGTCCCATATGCTCAACCCTTCTACTGTACCAATTATCTCCGCTGCCTTACCTCACCATCTACATTGTCCACCAATTCATCACTATCAAATACTATAATTCCTTCCCAATCTGATTCACCAAACACAATTTTGGGAGTTTTATAGTATGCATAATTACATGCCCATATCTAAGCTACTCAGTTGATAGAGTGTGTTAGTTTATGACAAATCCATTGGACTTCCACTGGCAGGCAGTTAAACGTATCCTTTGTTACTTGCAAGGGACCATGCATTTAGGTCTTCAACTGTCTTTTGCTACTTCTGAGTAATCTGTATCTCTTTGTGGATTTTGTGATGCAGACCCAGAAGATCATATATCTGTTTAAGGGTCAGCTATATACTTTGGTCCTAATCTAATTTCTTGGTGATCTCGTAAGCAGAAGTTTGTTGCAAATCAAGTGCAGAGGTTGAATGTAGCCTTGCACTCACTATTGCAGAAGTTCTCTGGGTTCAAATTATCTTGCAAGAACTTCATGTACCTATTGCTTCATCTATCATTTATGTGACCTTGCTATGGCTCAAAATCAAGTTCTTCATGCCCGAACTAAGTATATGGAGATAGACCTCTTTTTTATTCGAGAGAAGGTCTTGTCTAAACAACTCAGTGTTGTTCACATTCCTGGTTGTGATCAGACTGTGGATGTGCTAACTAAATCTCTCTCCATTGCCAAATTCTCGATTTCTTGTTCCAAGCTGAAAGTGGTTTCTAAGAAAGCCCACTCTGATCTTAAGGGGGGTGTTAGATAAGTTAGTTTATAGTTTACATAACTAGCTTGTATTAGGCATGTGCTAGTATTAGTGTGCCAGCTGTTGTAACTGTCCAAACAGGATGCTTAGCTAGCTGTAATTGCCATAAAAGAATTAGCTGATGATGGCATAGTCTATAAATAAATGCTACTGCATCGTAACAGAATATAATGTAAAATTCTATCTTTCAATCAATAGAATTTTGATTCTTTTCTCAATTCAATTTCACTTGAAGACACAAAATTCAGTTACTTCCAAACAACCATTGCCAAACTCGACTGATCTGAGCGAGTACGTGAAAGAAAATGGAGGTGTAAAAACAAACATGAAGGAGAGATATGAGAAATATGAGCATGTTTCTTAAGCAAGTGGGGGTTGTATTCAAATTGGAGCAAAGTCATACGACCTTGCCTTGCGGAATGCCATAATATGCGAGCGTGGAAGTAAAGGAAACTCTGTACTTTATTTTAACAGGAAGTCTTGGCATTCATCTTTTTTTGTGAGAGAACACTACTGAAGAGAATTTAATTTCCCTATGGAAGTTGCTGTTAATGAAGCCTGTTGGAAACTGTTCTTCACTTTTCATGGGTTGCTCAATTTTGTATTTGATAGAGACGAGTTTTGGTGGATGCAAACTCTAGCCTTGAGGATAAGGCTGTATTTGAAGGGGTGGGTAATGATAGAGACCAAATAGGGGTCATACGGAAAAAGAAAGTAGTATGTACTAATGAGTGTGGTAAGGATATATGATTAATAAATAGTGAGTTAGGATTCTTAGTTGTAGGTTAGTTATGCCTTAATAGTATAAATAGTGATGTTAGTGAATGTTACCTAATATGTCAGAATATTAAATGAACCTTTATGGTTAGGCAGAGGGAGTGATCTCCTTGAGGAGCTTTACTCTGGGTAGATTGAAACTCATTCCTTTCTATGTTGTTCTCTTTCTTCATCTATTAAATATTTTACATCAATGAAATATTTTCTTAACTTCATTTCTTACTATGGATTTTAAGTTCCATCAGTTACATCATCAGATTTTATCTTTTCTTTATACGGCATCGTGTAACCTTGGACATTCTTTCATTAATATAACAGTTTTCAGCACTCTATTTCTTTGATTCTATTAATATATGTCATATTTAATAAGGGATTGGTTTAGGGATAGGATAGTTGATTTTTGTAAAGGAATTTTTTTCTATGGTAGTTAGCCTTTTAGATGATATATGGTTGATGGTGTTTTTGGTTGTTGGTAGTTCATATCAAAACCGGTTTGTTGTGTCAACAATGACAATATAGAACGCAATAAAAATTTCTTGCTCTAATTCTAATTTTTTGTTATGTTCTTGTCACAGATTGTGTCGGTTATATTTAAGAAGGAAGCATCTGGAGTGGGAATAGATCCCAGTTCTGAGGCAGACTTTGTAAGAGCCACTGACACTGTATTTTATGTATTTTAGAGGGGGCAGATTGCTGGCGGTGCACCATATCTCTGCATAGTGGAAGTGAAATTTAATGATTTTACCTGACATTTAGAATATTTGATTTTCAGATTGAAGTGGATTCAAAAGTTGAACTGCCTTTTTGGCTGGCTCATGAGTTGCAGTTGAGACAAGCAGTATCAGTCAATGTCCCCCCTTGTTTCAATCAAAAGTAATGATCATTTGTGCGTCCGCAACTTATTAGTGCATTCTATTATATAATTGAGCTTGTCATGATGTTAACAATGGGTTATGAACGCAAGTATAACTGAGATGGTAAAAACCCGCAGAAACATTTAATATGTTGGGGCCTGGGTTTGAACCTGCAATTCCCCACTGCTCATCATTTAGTGTGAGTTTGCGGAGAGGCTCTTTAGAACCATAAAAAATAAACAATGGGTTAGGAAGCACTCTTGAGTACTTTTTTACTTATTTTACAAAATAAATGCTTTTGCAAACTGTCACTAATTTAGTATGGAACTGGGGATAGCAAAAAGTTATGCAACTATCAGTTTCCACAGCTTTCACAAAAGTTATAAAAACTAATAACTGCACATGCATGCAGATCTGCATCAGCACTCACATCCAAATGTACGATTGAAATGTTGATAGCTTGATGGTGTTAAGATTGCTTAATATTTAAGTTTAAAATTTTGATTTATCATCTTATTACTTGTGATTTTAATTTTCAGAACAAGACTAGAGATCCAAGCTGATTGTGCATGTGTGGATATAAGGTCCAGATGTCCATACTTCTATGAATTTGGTTGCAAGATAGCACCCATGTGAGTCTATCTTTCCTTATCTGAAAGAGTTATCTGTCCCTCTTTGGCTTTATTTTACACTTATTTTTTCAATCAGTTTTTCCTTGGAAAATAGTACATGACTGTCATGTTGCATTATGCCCTAGATGGGCCTAGGAATCTCAATTTTTCGTTATTGCTTGTACACACACCATCTCATTCAAACCCATATTGTGACAAATTCCTGAGTTAACCAAATAAAAATGTTATAGGACAAAACAAAATCTTGAAAAATTTCCAACCGTTGCTTTAAGCAAGTCTTACTTCAATATTCTGCTCCACCTTTTACAGTGCTTTTATGTAAACAAGCTTAGTATTGACCATAACACAAGCTACCTTTGTCGTGTATATACACTGCAAATGCCAATATTATAACTATAGAAGTGCATATTTGTGTTTTTTTCCTTCCATTTCATTTGGATCAATTCAAAGTCCTTAATTCTATGTTTTTATCATTTTAATTACTGTGTAATTAAAATATATGTAGCTTTATTTATCTTGTCCTCTGCTAATTTGTTTCTCATTTATGGCAGAGTTGGCGATAGAACCATCGGGGTTTTGTTGTTGTCTGCATTTAAGAATAGGTACAAGGAGATCCTCACAAAGGCACACACTGCAGCAATTGCCGCTGGTTCTAAATTTTGGACTATTCTAACAAATGAGGAGATCAATTGTGAGACTTGTTGCACTTGCTAAATAAAACAGGCCTTTTACCTTCATTTATGTGTTGCATCCTTTTCCTTCTCATGCAGGGAGCTGTTCAATCTAATTTATGTTTTTTCGGATTCTTTTTGTAGTGTATGAGACAGCTCAGTCCGCAATGGCATCCTTCAAGAAGTGGCGAATGGGGGGTCCCAGATTTCAGATAGCTTCTATTCTTGGAAGAAAGAGAAAACCAGCTGAATAGTTGATTTCTAACCTTATCAGAAATTTGTTTATGTTATCTTTTAAACCTGCAAATTGCAAGATATTGAGAATGGACACAAATATCAACTCGCTGATGTTAACCTTAATACAATGTGTTGCAATCTCAAATAATGGCTGTAATGTTATGACTGCGAGGTATTTGACCTTTGAAAAATCACCATTTGTCCCAAAACATTTGTCATATTTACAAAATAAAAATTCCAATGTCGTTTTAATGGTTTATTTTCTAGTTTTACTCTAACATATTTTTCCACTATGTTGGTTTTGTAAAACTGTTTTTTAGTTTTCAAAATTTAAAAATTATAAAACTTGTTTGGTAGTCAAGTTTTACAAAACTATTTTTTGAAAACTATTCTCTATTTGAGAGTTTTAAAAACTAAGAAACTAAAATAGGTTTTTGGAGGTTTTTGATTTTGGTTTTTAGTATTGAAAATTAAGAAGAGTAAAAAAATAAAGAAAAATGGTACATTTTTCATTAATGACAAATTTGTAATATTGTTCAACTTTAAAACAATTTTTAAAAATTAGATTACCAAACATGTTTTCTTTTATTTTTTTCCCTTTAAAACTCTTTCTTAAAGTTGATTTACAAAATAGTTTTTAAAAACTAAAAACTAAAACTCATTCAAACGGATCCTTAATATCCTCGTTTCTTTGAATTCTTCGTGTATACCTTTTATTCACAATATTCTTAACTTGGACATTTTTTTTCTAAATTAAAATATTTGATTTCTACTTGAGCTTTTCTTTTACAAAACAATTATATTTTAGATTGTTATGATTTTAAGTTTGCTAAATTTTTTGATTTACCTTTTAGTAAAGGGTCAAATATGGAAGGAGTCTTTATAAATATGTCAACATTTGATTTTAGTCACTTTTAACGTTTTTACTAACAGAGGCTTATGTGACATGCTAAATGTGTATTTTTTTAATTGACACGTTAGATTTATATTAAATTAATTATTTTAATTTTATATTAAAGTCAAGTCAAACGCAGGTACTCTAATTACAACTTTTTAAATCCCCTTTTTTTCCCTTTCCATTTTGTCTTTTTTGTCTTCCTCCCTCACCTCTGTATACTTCTTTTTTATGCAGAATATTGATATTATTAGTGATATTATGTCATTTTCACTCTATTGCAGATCAATTTTTTGATATCTTATCGCCACCAACAAATTTTTTTGTGCTTTACTCTTCAGTTATAACCAATGGATCATCATGTTTTTTACCAGGGGCAGATACATTCTTTGTTTTCAGAGTCCTTAACCTTTCACTATGTCTTTTTGCACCTACCACATAAAAATTCGTCTTGTACCTGCTCTTGGTTTTAATATTCACTGGTGCATTGCAAGTTGGCTTTGGTGAAGATAATACAGGAGGCTTGGTTGTTTACCAAAGAAAACCTTAACACCACTTAGCTTCGATTCAGTTGGCTTGATAGGTGATTTGTCAATACTCAAAAGTTGAATGTCCAAAACATCATCATTCCCTAATAATGCAGGCAAAGTCTCAGCATTCCAATCACATAACTTATCAAAACCTGAAGACTGTGTAGGTTGTTCCTTATTGACAGTTGGCTCCTAACATTCTCACCATTCAAAATATTATGCTCTAACATAACATCTTTGAACGTCTTCAATGAAGAAAACTCCATTCCAACTTTGAAAACAAAATCCTTACTTAGAGAATCTTCTACAAAGTTGTTTTTGGGACCACTGCAACAAAGACTTGTTCCTTGACCATATCGAAACTCTTTTCAACGTAGACGAAGTTTTGTTCTAGGACACATCACTCAATCGAAATGTTAGGGTCTTTTATCATTATCTCACTTGTAGGGTAGCAAGATAACGTTATTAACTATTCCATTGTGGCGAATTATTTATTACAAGTCACACGTAAGCAAAAAATACACATTTGGCATTGACACGTAGGCCTCCATTGGTGGAAACTAATGGGAGGGACCAAATTTAGTGACGGAAAAGATTGTGACGAACATTGTTTGAAGAAAATTTGTATAGGGACTAAATTTGAATGTTGGCATATTTATAGGGAGTAAAAACATATTTAACCCTTTAGTAAAACAATTTCCATTTCATACTGCCTTTGATTTAATTCACTTAGATGTATGGTTTCATCATTGGTTCTTATCAAAAGTGAGTACAAGTATTATTTTTAGGGATTTCTTAATGCACCCTATGTATTATTAGGATACCATGTGAGAATACAAAAATGCTCTATGAATTTAGAGATATATCTCCGGATGCATCCTAAGTCAATAGAAATTTGACTTAATGTGATAAAACTACAGAGATGCATCTTCGTAAACATTACAGAGATGCATCTTCGTGAACATTACAGAGATGCATTTCCGGACGCTACTTGTACATAATGTAACACCCTAGACTGCTTTCAGGATTATCGGCTAACCCTACAAACTAACACGAGTCTTTTTCAGCATGCTTTGTCCTCACTCACACACTTTCCAGAAACTCCCCAAAAGGTCACCCATCCCAAAATTGCTCCAAGTCAAGCACACTTAACTGTGAAGTTCTTATGGAACAGGATACTAAAGGTGATGAAGAACAGGTTGGACAATATAAAGAGTGTTCTATGAGAGCATACCTGTTATATTTAGTTGGCACTGCCATTTTTCTAGACAAGAGTTTCACTTAAGTGAATGTCCTCTACCTATGATACTTTGAGGAATTTGAACGAATCCATGAGTACAACTAGGGGGCCACTTATTTGGTATGCTTGTACTTTAAGTTATCCGAGGGTTGTAGGTGGAAGACAACATCACACTTTGGATGGTAATATTTATTGGTCTTTTGTGTTTGCGTGTCATTTTCATTACATTTTTGCAATGCTTTTACTAATGAGATTCATGTGTTCCAACACATTTCAGGCTTGGATCCTCCAGCACTTCCTACACATCTTCGGATGGTTGTATGTACCACATATAGTAAAAATATGCCGCAGACTTCTGAATTTACCCTCTCAGGGGAACCAAGCGATAAAGCCATTTCGGTTGTATCTTGACTTCTTGGTAGAAGAGGATATGCACTTTAACAGCTATGTCAATCATCGTAAGACACTACCATTTGACGACATAGTGTTATACTCGAGATGGTTGGCTTGCGCTTCATGTGTGACATTTCCTCATTTGTTGGGGCTCGTCATGTGGCAGTTCGGCTACACCCATATTATTCCTAGACACCTTATTGTCTCTATTCCTCATTATATGAAATATAGAGATATGGATGCCATGTTTGATGATTATCTTAGTCATCTAGTATCGGAGGAGACACAAAGTACCATATCTGAGAGCGATTAGAGCTATGTAGAGGAGTACATCAGGTGGTTCTTCAGGGTGTCACATTCATATATGGTACATGCTGCTCTAGGAGAACCACCGAGGCTAGCTCATCGGGAGATACTATAGGAGAAGCAAGCTAGGTTAGATCATACTTATGATGTGTTGTCTAGATGTCACCTTATTGTGGAGATTGCACAGGTAGACATTGACAAATGTATCTTTCCTGATGGTTCTGAGGTGATGGAGGTCCTAGATGCCAATATGATGAAGGCACGAGAGGTACTGATGTACCCGAGACAGCGCCAGAGGAAGGGGGACAGAGGAGGCTGAAGAGCTTTAGTTCGACATATGCGGTAGTTAATAGTATTTGTTATTTGGATTTATGTTTGGTTGTTTTTTATTTTTACATATTTCAACTTCATTATATATTTAAACTTTATTCTATATGTCATGATGACTTATTTTGACTCCAGACTTATATATGTCATTCTTTTGCATATCAGTTGTAGGGTTTAATGCTCATCACATAACATGGGTATTAACATTTATAAATCGTCATTTTCATCCGAGTAACCATAAAACTAACTTAACTTGCATTATTTTGACTGGTTACAAAGATGCATTTCTGTAAACTCTATTATATTGTATTTATTAAATATTATATTGCTTATGTTGTTCATGTTGTACTTTGTTTTTGTCTCTCTCACTCTAGTACGTTAAGATAATGTTCTTCACATACTGAACCATTTTAAAGTTGTTTTTGTCTCTCCCATTCTAGTACGTTGAGAAAAAGTTCTTCACATCTTAAACCCATTTTAAAATCTTCCTTTTTCTCACAATCTATTGGATTTATAAGCTTATTATGGTTGGAAATTTGTTTTTCCACCCTTAGGGTGTGACTCACACCTCCGAAAACTCAAAATTGTCCTAAGGTGTTTTCGGAGATGCATCTTCGGACACACCTTAAATAACCTCATCCTTCGCAAATCAAGCAAACACTTAATTTTTGCCAAATATTTGTCTAGATATGCATTTGAGAAACTTTTTTGGGGTGTATTCGGCGATGCATCTCTGAAAACACCATTAAGTGCATTTTAAGCTATTTAAACCTTATTATTTCGGATATGCATTTCTGAAAACTTCATGCATCCATCTTAGGCATGATTTTAATCTGACTAACAGTGCCATAATATGATTCAAATTCATTTTAACACGCACATTATAGAACAGAGTAATGTATTAATTTAAAAACATCCCATAATATTACAAACATTATTCTAAAAGCATGAAAAGTAATACTAAAACATCCCAAAATACAAGAAAATCATAACCTACTGCCTATGCATAATCCTAACCCCATGGCTCCTCCTTACTGAAGGTGTGAGAAATACACAAGAAAAAGGGGGGGGGGGAGGTTTGAATTGAGTATTTACTCTATTAAAACGTTTTCTCTTTTCTTCACTTGTTGCTTTCTATAGAGTTCTTTAAGATGCATTGCGGAAGCATCTATAATAAAGCATAACACAAGTAAAGAACACATGATATATCCTGGTTCACTTGAGCAACTCTCAAGCTAATCCAGTCCACCCTTCCAAGGTGATTTCTCCTCACTCAAGCAAGGACTTAATCCACTATAACCAAACTGGTTACAGTTGCACAAGCTA